TTCCACCAGAGCGCAAATTAGTTTAATATATAAATACGCTTCAAACAATATAAATAAACAGGTTTAAACAATATAATATTCAATACAGAAACTAGCTTAAAACTTGGTCACGGAGAGTTTATGAGTAAACGCAGGCTGCCCGTTATACTGCTCTATATTTTGTATTGCTGCAAAGTTTCTCCTTGCTCTGATTTCTCTGTGATTAGTTAGGAAAAGCCCTGATTTAAATTAGATTTTGCTTATTTTGTATTCTACATTCATTTCAATTTTGTGTTCAAAGCTGTTTTTCTACAGGCAAGCAAGCCAAGTTTTTGTTCCTATTAAATTTTCAATTTTATTCACCATCAGGTCAACGTGTTAATAAATAAATATTTTTATTTGAACTGTTATTTTGGTTTGCGTTACTTCTAGTTAAAAATCAGACGGGTAATAAAAGTCCCACAGGCAGTCTATTACTGATACTTTGGTAATTACATTCGTGTGCACAATTAAGAGAATTTGCATATTATGTCGAATTTCTGAAAACCTAATACACAGATTTTAATGAAATTTAGTATGAATATACGTTTGTAACAGAAAAAGATATGTACTATTCAAAAGTCATTTTATGTACGCATGATTATTAGTGTAGGGAAGCTAATAGTGTAGGGATGTCCAAAATCCACGTTGTAAAATCGAATTAAAAATGAGTCTAATATGCGGTATGGTTCCTTCTCACAGCCAGTCAGGTCGCGCAGCGTAACAGATACCGGATATGAGGCAGTGTAGTTCCTGTGACGCTTGATCCCACTCCTACAACAAGTCAAATTCCAACTTCAGGATGGTTGTCGGAGGGGAATGTCGAGAGGAAATTGCCTTTCTAAGAGCCGCCCACACATGCTTTATAGGGTTAAAGTCAGAAGATCTGGCTGGCTAATCCATGCGCCAAATATCCTCATTTCCAAGCAATCATGGACCAAATGAGCCTATGTGAACGAGCGCTGTTGTCCATTAGCAAGAACACAGGACTAACTGCAGCTCAGAAAGGTCAAAAGCATGGCTCTAAGATCTCCTCTCTATACATCATAGCATTCATGAAGCCTTTATCAAACACAAGCAGGGATGAGCGGCCGTCAAACATAAATGCCTGCCTAAACCATTACACCTCTACACACAGTAATGATCCTTTTCTCTAATCAAGAAGAGATGGGATCCTGTTTCAAGCTTTCTCCAGATACAGGTACGCCGAGAATCAGAGTCCAAGGTGAATTTTGACATATCTGTAAAACGCATGGTGTTCCATTTAAGTTTAGTCCAAGACGCATGTTCTCTGCACCATGCTAAACACGCTCTCTTGTGAGCTGCAGTGAGAGGAACGCAAAAAGAGGGTTTTCTGGTATACAGTGCTATTTCCTGAAATCCTCGGGCAACTGTAGACCATGAAACTCGGGTTCCAGTGGCAGCGCACAGCGCACAGCTCACATGAGAGCTGTGAAACTATAGCAATGCTGTGTCGCCGCGATGATATGGCAAAATAATGATCCTCATTCGTCGTTGTGGATCTTGTCCATGTCTTTTCGATATGGATCCGATGTCCTGAAACGTTCCACCAATTGCAGACGAAACTGAGCGTTACACTGATCTCTGTAGCCACCTGCATTTGTAACTGGCCTACGTCATATCTACCGGCAATTCTCCATCTCATTCTGTCATCTATACATTTGTGGTTTTTATTTTACCTGATGCCTTCTAAAATTTACTCTACTCTTGCGAGAAACGCGGCGAATGTCGGTAAGGAAGTATGAGTGCACAAATCGCCGTGCTCCACTACCTTTGGTTCAATACATTTCGTAAAAAAAAAAAAAAAAAAAAAAAAACATAATTTGCAAATTATTTTATTTTTGCACGCTACTGTCGGTAGTTTAAAGTTTAATAGCATAACAACTATATAAGTTGCTATACGCAAAATTCGCACAGAAAAAATGTTAAGCATTTTCTTCTAGAGAGTTATTATGCACAAATGATTCTGAATGAATCCGAAAATGTTGTAGTATTAGCTGCTTAAGACATTTATTTAATTTCTTGACCTTATTTCTAAAAACACGTAAAGGCTGTCCATAATCATATACACTCATTTCGGGTACTGTTAAACGGTAAACAATTATTTAACCGCTTCATTCTATTTTTCATTTCCCAGAAAAATAAATGTGTGGGTTCTCTCAAAATTTTCCTCATAAGTAAGATGAAATACGGACACTGATATGTAAGGAAAATTGTATCCTTAAGAGCAACCTTGCAATATTTATTGGATTTAATGGAAAAGCAAACATGATATTAAACAATTTATGATCGAATACGGGCTGTTTTTTTGTATCTTTTTTCTTTTAACTAAATATTTATTACGCTCTGTGAGTTATGAGTTCAAAAAGTTTTTTTGTCGTAAAATGTATTAAATTCTAAGCTTTAGTGCTATTTAAATAACGCATGTGCAGCTGAAACGCAAAAGGGCTTCTTTACACTCATACATCAAACGAAACAAGCGTATCGTTTCACTTTAGGCAGAAAATAAAATCCTATCGATAAACAAAATGTCTTAAAATCAGTCAAATGGGATTGGTAATGACGCGTTTAAAACTCTTATTTTGCGTCGTTCACTTATTTGTTCCTCCTACGAAAATATGGCCGCTCGCAAATTTTCAGATATATCAAACCCACCCACATCTGTCAACAAGAAAATGAATCAACAATCATCTAAAATTACCAGCATTTTCTTTGCGGAGTTTTTCTCGTTAACTGCAAACAAATGCGTGCGTGACTCATATCTCTGCTAGTTTATACAGGGCATGCCTTCATCTCGGAAGGATTCGTTCAGAGGTCATGGCAAACGAATACCAGTTGGATTAATGTTGAATGAGTGCTGCTCTGACTGACTTCAAACACCTGCCTGTTTTTCAGGCATAGGCGAAATCTATACATCAACAACAGTAGAGGAAAAGGTATCTGTATTAAAAGTTATTAATCGGTCACATAAAACTGGAGAGTAAAATGTCACGTGAATTTAGGGGGTCACATGAGATTGGAAATTCCATGAAAATGAAGGGTATATACAGCTTATTGAAATATCTTAATAAACATTTTGTCTGGAAAATAAATAAAAATACAAATAAACTACAATACAAATTCATTAAAAGCATTGATTTTAAAACAAAAAATAACCAAGGAAAATATTTATTTAAAAGAATTCTACCTCGCTGTTCCTATTCCATACATGAAATGCGCAAGAGGCTGGCCCGATTAACACCACAAAATTTTATGAAGTATCAGAACATATCACAATATCGACTAGCTATCTTTGAAAAATAAATTGGAGAATTAAGCACATTATTGCATAAACAGTAAAAAAAACGAATTTTAACTTTTAATTTTGGTAATGCGTCTTTTCACTCGGTAACTTGTAATTCTGTAAAATCCCAAGGTCAAAGTCTTCTTTACTGGCGCGATGCAACACTCTTCCATGTCACGAAATCCCAAGACGAGCGCAACCCAGATTTAATATCCAAATAGATATTTCATATCATATAGAAATATTCTTATTCCCAAAAGCTACTGTGTATTTTTCATGAATATATTAAATGCATTTTATACGTTGAGAACCATTTGTCGGTATCGGCGCAATGCTTAACAGTTTCCCTACGGCTACAGTAGTAGTGATTAATGAACATTTTCCAACTTGAACAATAATCCCCACGAACTTTTACCACGAAACTAAAACAGCGAAACCCTTTGGCAACTAGATTTTGGTTTTAAGCGCGATATATGCATAATTACAAATGATTCTGCTTTAGTTTTCAAAGACCTATTTATTATTGTGATGAAAAGCCATGGATGCTTAGTTACGTACCTATGAATTGAGAGAGAATCACGACTGGTTTGTGGTATGGGGAGTAAATTCTCTCAGTTTACAGACAGATTGCGAATTCATACTCAAAAATTAATTATATATATTTACATATAATAAAAAGAAAAAGAAAAGAAATATATATATATTTAAATATAATAATAATATATACATGTAATGATTTAACTGTAGGTAACTTGAGGTTAGACGATAGCTTGAAACTGTTGCATAGATAGAGTGATGTATTTGCAGATAAAGGTGCCTAGTTCAGCACATAAATTATTTCGAAATATTCTTTACACATATCTTCACTTACCCATAATTAGTTACTTAAAACACATATCGTTGGTTTTCACAGCATACAAGCGCCCCGCAATTCCATATACACAAATCTCATTTTTAAAGCCATAGATGAAGGCAGCACAAATTCCGTGCTTGCGAAGCGACAGTACGGGAGAAAGGAGACTGGGTTATTTCTACAGCTAGGGTATTTATGAATTCGGCTCCCTTGTTTCAGTTTTAAATGATGAGTGGACCAGAGTACAACACTGCGAACCATTCCAGATGTAAGTGACGCAGTACAGATTCCAGGACAGGGATGTAGCCAAATTAAAAGCAGAATTTAAAAAGGTAACTGATAATTAATTTAGCAATATTCCTTCATATTTTATATCTTACACAAACACATAGTTACACACAAACATCCACACATAATCTTAGAAGAAAAAAATATATATTCAATAAACGCATTTAATATGTAAAACTTTGTTATAACAAAATTCTTTGCATATTAAATACGTTTATTGAATTCATCCATTTCACGTTGAATCTGAAAGAACATAAATATCCCAAATATTTTAAAAATAAGATTAAAATTAACTTTAAATATACACGGTAAATTATGTTAGAAAAATGAAATGCACTCAAAGAAATTTATATTTTCAGACGAATGTTTTAATAAAAAGTATACGGACATAGCATTTGGAACAATATTATGAAAATATGTTTTGTTTGCTTTTTGCCTAGGTTAGGAAGGTTTTCGATTATTTTAATCAAAACGAGCAATACTTATATCCCGTCATTGCATAAAATGTCGCAACATGGCAAAAAATTTCTTTCTTTCTTTTTTTTTTTTTTTTAACGCTACCCAGACACCAAAGTCAACAATATTTCGAGCAAAAATCTATCTCACCAGTTCCAACAACACAAAATATGACCCCAATATTCGAGCCTTTTTCAGAGCTGGAAAATAAAGCGGCGTCGCCGTTACGAAACCTGAACGCACCATTGCGGATGAAATCAAAGAACTCACCAGGAAAATGGCATTCTCTTTCGGTGATGACTTGACATTTTCCATTCGCAAATGTCTGTCAATACAACTTCCTGCTTTAGTCGTAGAGTACCTTTACAGAAGATATCAGCCTTCTCGGAGCGGTATTTGCGCTGCCTGAAAATGAAACAAATGGAACGAGGTTAAAATGACATCGCAGAATATTATGGGGACGGTAATTATGCTATATCTCGGTTAATAATTCACTATTTCTATACCTTTTGTTTATGTTGGAACAGGTGCATGGTTATAAATTTATGCAACATCAGGGTCGATAAAGATTTCCTGTCTCTACATGTACAGAAACAATGGTAAAGTCACTGTTGCGTATGTGGAGTTTAAGTAAAAATACTCACCTGTAATTAAGGTTTATAAATTTATGTTTAAATGGTTTAGATGGTTCTATCTTTAAAGTTCATAAAGTTATCTTTTACCTTTCAAAGTTCATAAAGTGATCTCTAAAAATATTGAATATTATCATAATTATATTATTTAAAGTTACGTTTAAATGTAGTACAAGTTCAGGAGATTGAAATGCTTTTTTAAGTTGTTAAAACATTCAGCATTATCATTGATTATGAGTCTTGTGTTAAAATACAAAATCAAAACAAAGAAAAAAGGGCATCTGATCGTTTTCGTTATAGGACAAACCGTTCCAGCAACTTCCTGAAGAATGATATTCCCGCCAACCGATGTTAAACTAAGCGGGTGTTTATACCTATCTCTTAACAAAATTATGATTTCATTCTTGTTCTTGTCAACAGAAAGATATGAAAATGAAACCTTCTTAGTTTATTAAAATATACCTAGGTATAATTGTTACGTTTAGAGATGTTTTACAACAGCCACTCAGTTGATTACGAAAATATGTTCTCTCGCTAGACGTGTCAGTTTGACTCACATTATCTTATTAGAAAAAATATATGGCACGTGTTCTGTTTCCAAGAGAAACGATTTGTAGCGTTGTTCTATAAAGAAAAAGATCCAAAGTTTTTTATGAATAATTAAAATATACTCAATGCTGTCTACTGTTCAAAACGTTTACTTTTTAACTATTTAAATGTACTTGTTATTAAACGTTTACTTTAAAAAGCTGTAAAATTCACATTTATAAAAAAATGATTTCTGAATCAACGGAAAAGAATCAGCGTTTGTCTGTAACTCGAATACATGATGTTTCTTTTAACTACTACACAAAAACAACATTCTGAAAAAAATATTTCTGAATTTTTAAGCATTGCTTTAAGACTTTTAGATGCTGCAGAAACTTAGAAGAAAATATTTTCTGAATGACTACGTGAATCCAAATGCGTTTGAAAAATATCAAACAAACAGCAAAATAGCTTAATCATAATAACAGGAAAAGGTTTTATAAACAAGGAATTCCTTTTTTGTAGTTCGAGAAGGGGGAAGAAAATATAAAAATCAATAGCATGAAACAATAAATTACGAATTAATAACTATAAATTAAAAAACAAAACAGTAATTAAATGATGAAAACACGGCAATTAAAATACACTATATTAGATGCATAAACTCCATTTCAGTTTTCTATTAAAAATAACACTATTATTCAAGATATCAGTTTTACTACAACAATGTTAAAGAATGAAATCTTGCAACAACAGCAACTTTAATGCAATACTCCCATCAACTTTATTTAAATTAATTAAACATAAGCAATTATTTTTAATATCAAAATTAGCTTTTCTCAAATTAGAAATTGGTTATTCTAGCTATCATTAAATTGTTATTCACAACGCACTCTCTAACAGAATTGTTTTCTCATTAAATACCGGTATTCAGTATATTAAATTAAACGGATAAACTGAAATAGCAAATAATTGTTTAATGTTTTAGTTGATTTATTATTTTTAATTTTCGATTTTAATTAAATGCACACAAATTTGCTTTTACAGAGTTATATCAGTATTTATTTTTTAAATGTTCAGGTTTATTTAGCAATAATTCCTCGCTGAAACTGATAAATATTTAAGTTGGGGTGAGTTCAATATTTAATTCGCGGTGGCAGATAATAACGAAGACTATATCTGACGTTTTATGGGCGGTAACATAAAATAACAGAAAGCGATGTAACAGATGAATGAACACAACTTTAAATATCTAAAATCTAACGTTTGAGTAGAATGCATTTTATATAAACGTCTGGTGTATTTAAAAACACCACTTAATTTTAAAAAGCAGCATTTAAATTCCCAAGTTGTTTATGTTTAATTCAAAAAATTACAGATACACACTTTATTTTATAAAAATTATCACTGAAAAAGGTTTCGTTACATTTACATATGCATATATTAATAATGTATTTATTACAATTATTATATTTATAATTATTTTAGTGAATTTAGCTAAATTATTTTCAATTTGTTAAAAGAAAAGCAATTCATGTATATAATTAACTGCAAAGTATTTAATTAAATTACTTTTATATTATTTATTCAGAAAACTTCACTAACCGTTATTTCCATAGCTGCATAAGGGAAGCTCCTTTTCCTCCTTAAAGGGTTAAAATGAGGATTAAAAGGAGGAAAGTCAATCTGGAAGACACTATTCTTCCTTCCTCAAGAAAGCAATAATCATTTCATTACCGTCTTATTAAATACGTTCGTCCTTCTTCAACGGTTTGTTCTCACCCTGCGTAGCCCATTTTTATTATGACGATTGTAGGTTAGTTGAAAATGGTACAAAATTAGTTCTTAATGTGCCATCTGTTAGCATTTAGCATCCCGTTATAAGGTAATTATTCAGGAAACTCTCGTTCCATATTATAACAATTTATACGCATAGGACTATCAACTAAGAAGAATTATGGGCTCCATAAAAGCTTCAAATAAAGATGGAGACTATTAAATTTTTAAAAAGTGATTGCCCATAGCTTTGTATTAGAAAATAATATTACGAAATGAAAAAGCAATACAGGAAGAAGATAAAAAAAATCTTTATTACCAGTATATATTTGATCAAGAAGCAATGACCTGTAAGCAATGACCTGTAAGCAATGACTCGATCAAGAAGCAATGACTCGGGTTTCTATAAAACACGATTTGTCCCAATGAACACAGTTTAGAACAAACACTCAAAAGACTTAACAAAGCTGAAGCTCGGTGTATTACAATAAATAGGCTGACTCATTTCTTTATGACAAATGCCAAGGATGGCAATCATAAGCTAATATTATATTAGAAAAGGGAAACAGAAAACACTGTGTGTGGCATGAACGCACTCAGCTGATCAATGTTTACGTTTACCAAGTTATTAGGTATTGCCACACATTTTTATATTCGCTATACTATTTATTTTTGGGATGTAAATTTATGAAGACATCTGGATTTGCTCCGGGTATCTTCATCTGTAAAACCTGTTACTGATCACAGTTGTGAAAAAGGTTCACCTTCCCCCCCCCGCTCTGCTGAAGTGCTTATTCACAAAGTTTATACGAAGTGTTAGCACAAAAATTACTAATTAATATATAAAAACATTAGAAAAAACAAAATATTTAATTATTCTTTGTTCTAAAGCTGAGGATGGCAATGATTTGTAAAGCAATTTAAAATGGAACCCTCAGTTTTAAGACTTTTATTTTGGAAAACAGGCAAGATGTTATTTTTATACATTAAAAATTGCAAAATTTAATATTCCAATATTACAATCAATATGATATTATAAACTTTATTATGATCTAATTTTATGATCTGCATTCTGCGAAAAGTTTTGATGTTAGAGATGAATGAGGCTTTAAGGCAAGAGTTCCCCACTTAGTTACTGATTACTTTAATTATTATTTACAATGTCACGAATGACATCACAGTCCTGACAGAATTTCGCGCGTTCGTTTATTCGATTCGTTAAGAGAATAGGGAGCTTACTAGCCGCCTATTCTCGAACTATTCCTTACTGTCTATACTAGTGTAATTAACACACGTTTGAATTTAGTACAGGCAGCGTATTTCAAAAGTCTACTCATTGTCAATACGGTATTTCGGTAAAGTTAACGATATGTTCGTGTTTAGATTAACGTAATCGTGGCTCTTGTAATGGATAAATGTATAAAATGTATCAAATACCATAAATTTTGTTACTGCGTTAATGGTTGCTTCTAACAGGCATGAAATACAAGCTTAACTAAAATATTTAATGCACATTCAATGAATTTCGAATGTGGAAACGTGATTCTAAAACCTAGAATTTGTATAAAATTACAAAAAATAAAAAAATAAAAAAGGCGAGAAACACATTTTGAAACTCAGTACTCTGCTCGTGTTATACAATGCTGTGATGATTGGAATTCACCGGCTACCTTTTTTTAAACACAATTTAAAAGATAATGATTGTAATTAAAATATACAAGAACTTTCAGAATTTTTAACTACAAGAGTACAAAAACTAAAATAATTTTATGTATTTAGCAGAGGTATAATAATGAAAGGTATTGCCATACAGAATTATCAATAATTTAAAATGTGCAACCTGCTCCGGAAAGGATTTTCTTGATTTAAGAAAGATTGAGATATTATATACTTACAGTTCCTATGATTTTCTCTAGGAGTTACATGATTTAGTTTTGTTTCTCTTAGAAAGTTCCCATGAATGCATTTATTTTTAAGCACTTAATCTTCAAACGTTTTGTCATAATAAAATTAACAACATAGATTTTGCCTCCAAAGTATGATCATAAGACTTTTCTGAAAACCCTTCAGTGAATTATTATTCTTATTTGTTCATGACAGTCCTAAAGATTTTCAATTCTTCAGGTAACTTCAGACGACTCTAAGTACAATGAACTGATGAGCTAAACCCTATTACTTCTTTTAAAATAAAGTATGTAAAAATAAATTCGTTCCTCTGAAACACATGAATAATATAATTAAGGTAATTAAACAGTTATTTCATTTTTTGGAGAAAGATGAGGATTTTATTAACATTTTGCGTTTAAGACTATGGTAAAATGAAGTTACTACCGTAGGCGAACTTACATTCTTCTAAGGTTCTAATTGAGACCTTATGGCCATTTCTCTTAAAAGTAAAATGTGCCTTTTTATTTCAAGACATGATTTTCCCGTTCATAATCTATACCAATATTTTTAACACTTAATTAT